CTTTAGGGCAAGGCAAAGGAAATCTTGGGTAATCTTTGTGGTGGTCCAAACAATTCTGTCTTCTGTTGCCTATGGATTCCCTGCTCTACCACGTGCTTGTGGAATGTGTTGTGGGTGTGTAAGAGTATGTTGCAGACAGCACCCTTTTCCATACCTCAGTCTCTTGCTACTGTCTCCTTCCGTCCCCAAGTTTTGTTATAGCTACCTGGCTTCCTAGCTCTTCCCAAATAGGGTCAAGTGCGCTTCCTGCTCAGAGTCTGTGTGGTGGCTCTTCCTTTCCCCTTCCCAGATATTATCTGGTTTTCCCACTAGAATATAAACCTATGAAGGCAGAAGCCTAGTTTGTTTTTATCTCTAATGCCTAGCTCAGTGCCTGGCATATAATGGCTACTCCACACAGCTTGTTGAATGGGTAAATTGAGCCTTTGGGCCAAGCAAGTAAGGTTGCTTTAAGAGGAGAGAATCAAATCCTAGCAGTTTAAGAGGTGAAAAGAGGGGCTGGGGTTGTAGCTCAATGGTGGAGCTCTTGCCTAGCACAAGTGAAGCACTGGGTTCGATTCTCAGCACCACTGTAAAAAAAAATTATTAAAATAAAGCTATTGTGTCCATCCGCAACTAAGAGAAATATTTTTTTTTTAAAGGGAAAAGACCCAGGACTCGTCTCTTTGCAGAGCTTCATTATATAATATCATTTCATGTGATAATTGTCCAGCACTGTTTATGCATAATGCTTTGCAGACAGTCATTTAGCAGCCTCTGGTTCATGTTTACAGGACCAGGGAGTTCACCAGTTTTCAGAACAGCCCATTCTTCATGAGACAGCCACTGTGATCAAAAGACCCTCTTAGGTTTTACATTAGGCAGAAACCTACCTCTTTATAAATCCTGCACATTGATTAATGGAACTGTTGGAGTAATGCAGAAAACTTAAATATACCTCTGTTTGCACATGACACTCCTTCAAATAGTTGGGGAAAGATAACTGTCATGGTCTCCCCCACCCTCTGACCTAAACATCACTAGTTCCTTCAATTGTTCTTTAATTGAAATTGCCTTTCCACCCTGGTTACCTTCTTCAAGTTTGCTCTTCAAGTTTCAGAATTTAAAGTTTGGGCTCATCAGTGCAGAGTGTTTTGGGACCTTGGACCAAGGAACCTGTCCATCCCACTTGTTTCTGTCAACACAGTCTAGGATGACCTTCCTGGCTGCCATGGCAGAGGCCTCCTCAGGAGCTGTTAATGAGGACAATTTAGGGCCATTTCTACAGTCATCTAGCCCTTCCCAGACTCTTAAAATTCAAGAGTCAAAAATTGTAAGTTTTTTTTTTTCTCCTCCTGTTTTGTTTTTTAGCACTTTGAGATTAAAGCAGTGGTAGACCTGTGAACAATTAACTCAATCTGTATTCTATTAAAAAGAGAGAATAAATCTAGTTGTATCACCAAAACCCAGGGGAATAGGTGGAACTCTAGAATTTAGGCAAAACCTGTAACTTTTTCCTTTCTTTCCTTTTTTTTCCCCTGACTGTCTTAGTGTCAGTCTCTCCCTCTCCGCCATCTCCACATTGCTTTCTTGCTCTCCCTCAATATATTGCTTAACTTATTCCCCTTCCAGTTAATAGAAATATGGAACTAATATTTACTTCCAGAATTTTTTGCACTTCTATCACCAATATTTTACCATAAGCCCTGACTTTACAGACTTAGGCAAGTTGTGCATTTTATATTTGTCTGAGGGAGAAAAAACTAAGATTAAATTGCTTCTTATTTGAAACCCTGGGCTACTTTGTTTTGTCGTCTTGGAGGAAAGAACTTTCAGCCCCAGTCTTAGGTTCTGCGAGATTGGTTCCCATTTCTGCCCAAATCAGCGGTTTCCCATTCGTGATTGGACACTAGGGCTTCAATGTCAAGAGATTTGCTCTGCTTCTGTCATTGCTGAGGTTAGTGTCATTTGGGGTAGAGGTGGCCAGGAAGGAAGAGCCAAGTTCAAGGAGGTTTTGATTCTGAGGTCATTTGGGCTTCCCTGCCTCTTTGTACTCTTAACCCCCTGGGGGCTGAGGCTGGATGGAGGGCTGCACTCAAGCCTAGGGTCCTTCCCTGGTAGCCCTTTGTATTTGCCTCCTGTGTTGACTCTTTTTCGCAGGAGAGGCTGTGACTTTGGGATGTGGGCCTTAGGCTAGGAGTTTGACTTCAGTGGCCACTCTAACCTTGGGTGAACCACTGCTTGTTTTCACCCAACTTCATCAACTGCTCAGGGCTGGATTAAGCACAGCAGTCCCTAGAGGTAGCACTGATGGGGTTCTTTAGTTATTTGAAGCTTGCTTTTTTTTTTTTTTTTTTTGGTATCAGGAATCGAACCCAGGAGCCCTTAATCACTGAGCCATATCCCCAGCCCCTTTTTATTTTATTTTTTAATTTTGAGACAGTCTCACTAAGTTGCTGAGGCTGGCTTTGAATTTGTGATCCTCTTGCCTCAGTCTCCCAAGTATCTGGGATTACAGGAGTGGCAATGAGCCCAGTTTGAAGCATTTTTTAAAAGCCAGTTGGGGCTGGGCATGGTCACATGCCTGTAATCCCAGCAATTCCAGAGGCTGAGACAGGAGAATTGCAAGTTGAAGGCCAGCCTCTGTATTTTAAGAGACCCCGTCTCAAAGTAAAAAATGAAAAGTGCTGAGAATGTGACTCAATGGTAAAAGTATTCAATTCCCAGTAGGGGTGGAGGGGGGGTGGGGGAGGAGCCAACTGGAGGGCCTGGGGGTGTGTGTCTCAGTGGTAGAGTGTTGCATGGCATGTATGAGGCCCTGGGTTCTACCTCTAGCACTCCCCCCCCCCCCCCCCCCCCCGAAAAAAAAAGCCAAATAGAAATGGGGCAAATGCCCACAGCAAGGCTGTGAGAAGTGTTCTGAGTCTGAATGCTTGGTGCCTTCATAGCCACTTTGGGCTGGGCTGAACAATAACGGAATTGCCAGATGAGTACTAAAACTGGGGAAATGAGTTCACTTCTGTTTTGCAGTCATGATCTAAACAAGGCAGAGACCCTAGGCCCTGGGCCCCAAGGTCTGTAGTGGGATTTCCTCAGCAGTTAGTTTCTATAGTCCACAAGTGGGCCCAGCCCAGCTCTGCTTAAATGTCCTCAACTGGTTTCTGGAGCTAGTGTCAACCTGATCAGTCACTGGAGCAGTTGACTTACTTAAGAGTTGTTTTAGTGGGCTGCTTCGCCTCAGAAAGTGGAAAAAAGTGTTGGTTTTCTAGAAGCTGGATGGTTCTGCAGGGCCCCTGCCCACCTGCACCTTGACCCTTCCTCCATCCTGACTGGCTTGTTCCGTGTGACCGCTCAGTAAGCCATTACGGAGAGCCAGCTCCTCTGGGCAGGGGACCTGCAGGGACTCTGAGACCTGAAACCTTAGCAAGGCTGTGTTTGGAGAGAAGGAAGAAAGAATGGCCTTGTAGCATTTATCAAGGTACTTGGTGGGCAACGGCAATTTGCCTGGGAGGGTGGAAGGAGTGTTATTCCTGTTGACTGTGCTAACAGAGAGCTGAGAAGAGACTGACTGCCTGGGGAGGGGGTGCCAGGTTTTTATGAGGGGGCATTAATGGATGGGGGGGCATGGGAATCCTACTTTTTTTTTTTTTTACTTATCACCCAGGATACCAGCTCTGGGTTCGTTGGCCCTTGAAATCACCTCCTTTGGGGACTGAGTTTGATGTGAAGTGGACACTCATAGATTCAAAGTATTTGGACCCACAGAATTTTGGAACTAGAAGTGGCCTCATCTCTACTCAAGCTCCATTGTCCATGGGCTAGAGAACAGACAGAAGCCAGAGTGTAGTGACTTCACACAGGGCACAGAGAGGAGACTAGAGGCAGGTCATCAGACTGCTTGAGAAGCATCCTTTGCAGTGTACCTGAGTGCTGCTTGTCCCCTTTCCTTCTCTGCTTGCTGGCCTATTCACTTACACACACATCCCTGCTCAGACTAGTTGGGTGGATTCTTGCCTCATCTGGTATTCTGGCACCACCCCCCTAAGATAGGAAGGGAGGAGAGGCCACTTGTCTGTTCCTGAACCCTGTCTCCTCATTACATCCCCCTCCCCCAGCAAATTCAGAACCCAGGCCCCCTCCTCTTCTTCAAAGCCCCCAAATTGCCCTCTGGGCCCTTTTCCTGTAACTCTAGAAAGGTTTTCCTGTACAGGCTCTTAAATTAGGCAGGAAATGCAGAGGCTGGGCAGTTGGGGAAGGCTTCCCACAGGAGGTGGTACCCATCAAGTCAGTGAAGTAGCATCATCTAGATTGGCTGAAATGAGGTTTAAGGGGAGGAAAGCAACAAAAGTACCACGTAGGGGTGGGGCCCAGCAAGGGTGCCTTAACTAGACAGGCACAAAGTGAGGTCCAACAACTACCGGGATCAAAATACTGCCCCAGCCTATCTGTAACTGGAGGGAGCTTTCGCAGTGGAACCAGCTCCCTTTGCTCAGGCAAAGCCGAAGCCAAATCCTCCCCACGCCCTGGGGAGGAGAGAGGAGCGGGTTCCAGTTCCCGGTGGCCATGGTGGCTGCGGTGGCTGAGCGCGAGCGAGTCACAGGGTTTATGTTAATGTGGGCCCTCCCCCGCCGCGGCTCAGCCTATGAGCCGGCCTGGCCGACAGCTTAATTACCGCTGCGGCGCCCTGGGCTCGCGATCCTGGGCTCCCGAAAATAATAAGGATGGCGTCACCACTTTCTGCGCCATGTGCTCCTCGCTGCCTTCCTAGCTCTATTGTAGGAACAACAACAAAAAAATCAGGGACACAGATGCTTTTTTTCTTGGAGAGATTTTTGTTTGTTTTTAAAGTAGCGTGGGGCCCTGCCCCTAGTTAAGATTTTGAAAAGATCTTTGAGAAGTGTGGAGACCTAAAGCTTGGCTACCATGGAGGCTGCAGAATAGCCTCCTCCTGTTAGCAGAAGCTGGGAAGCTTCATGGGTGATCCGTTAATTCCACGGCTTTCCACTAGGGACTGCAATTTCTAATCCAGGGTGGCCATGTGTGTTGTAGTGAAAAAAGAAAGAAAAGAAAGGGAAAAAATCACCCGGCTATGGGTTCTGGGGCACTGGGTTCAACTCTGGACCTCACTGCTGCTTCTGGGAAAAAGTGATCTGAGCAGAACCAACGTTTTGCAAACCGGGTCGTGTTTTTGTCTTGTTTTGCAATGCTGGGAATCAAGTCCAAGGCTTCATACATGCCAGGCAAGTGCTGTACCACTGAGCCACATTCCCAAACCTTCCCCACCCCAAGTTCCTTTTTTTTTTTTTTTTTTTTAAGTTTTAGGTGGACACAATATCTTTATTTTATATTTATGTGGTGCTGAGGATTGAACCCAGTGCCTTATGCTCTACCACTGAGCCACAACCCCAGTCCCCAAAGTTCTTTTAATAGAAAAAAGTAATGTTTCAGGTGTATATGTCTATATTCCCAAAATGTGTGCACTGAGTACATAGTGTATTTCTTGCTGTGGGGTGTGGTTAGAAAGCCACTGGCCTAGATGATCCTAAGGCCCTTGTAGCTTCAAAATGTCTAACTTTTCTCCAAGAGCCTTAATACCCCCACCCCAACAGGCCTGACTTATTTTCTTCAGGTTTTGCCATTCTTGCTCTGAAACAAAACTATAGATTTTATGGTTAAAACAACAAAATCACATCTGTTATAGCTGTGTTAAATAATTTGGCCTTCTAGCTAGAAATGGGATCTGCAACAGGGGATGGCCCATTTAGAAGCTGACCTATTTAAAACCCATGAGCACCAAAAACACAGGGTCAATTTGATTTGAGTCTTCTCTGCTGTGCAAAGACTGGAACCTGGAAACTAAATTGCTCAGGGACTGACAAGGTTGAAACCAAACAAAACCATATGTAGGTGTAAAAATCAAGAGGAGTATGTTTCTGAGCATGCTGCCTTGGTTCCCCAACAGGTTAGGAGGCCCTGTGTTTTCCAGAGTAATTTCTGCAGGCAGGTGGGTGATATGCATCTATAGCCTGCCCTTATTGTCATGCCTTGACTACATACAGTAGAGAAGGCAGTGGATAAAGGGGAAGGCAAGTAGCTTTTTTCAAGCTGGAATGTTCTAAGTACCTCATTTCATTTAATCCAGTCCAAGGTGATGGGCATTGTAGTCATTAGAGGAAAATTGGAAGCTCGGGGAGGTGAGATGGGCTAGTAAGTAGAAAATCTGGGCTTGAGCCAGGTCTTTCTGACTCCAGAGCCTGCCTGCCTTCTCTCCACATCTCCGTGTTGCCTCGGGAAGTACTGGAAGCATACCGAACAGCTTACTCTGAGCTTCCTTTTCTCTGGTTCTGCTCTTTAGAGAGCTCTGTTTTTAGGCCCAAGCTGTCCATTTTAATCAGGGCCAGCTTCACAGCTGTGTGACCTGTGCTGCAAGAGCTGCTGTCACTACCTTAGAATTCTTCATGATTTTCTAAGCAAGGGACCTACATTTTCATTTTGCACTGGGCCTCTGATTTATGGAGCCTGTCCTGGCTGTGAGCATACATCCACTTTCTTGGGTTTTCTGGGTGCCTGTTGGTCGCCTCTGGCTTTCTGTCTTCTCTCATGGAGACATTTGGAGCATGCACTCTGTCTCAGCCTCAGTCCTGCTACCTGGCACCCTGGGCTGGAGTTGTTTACTGGCTGACTGTCTCTTCCTTGCCAGTCACCAAACCTTGCTGGCAAGGACCCTGACCTTGGCTCACCATCGTCTCTGTGTCCCCTCAGCCAACAATGTTGCAGGAACACCCTGTGTGGAGAGGCCTATAGAGGCCCATATACAGAGCACTGGGTCAAGTTGGGAGCAAACACAGCTGCCCTGCCTCTCAGGGGCACAAAGTACACACCCCAAAGCTGCTGCTGTTTATCAGAGGTAGGGCTTATCCAGTGCTTATTCCGCTGGCTACGCTGCAGGTCCCGTGGCAGTTTGCCTCTCTTGGTCCTCCTGGTACCTAGTATTGTGCCTGGCACAATAAAGAGGACATTTGTGAGGCAGTTGCTCTGGTGTCCGCTCCCTGCTAGGCTGATTATGGAGAAGGACAGTCCCTGACCTCTAGGAGGATCAGATGCTTAATACACGATTAAATGATTCATGTAGCAGCTGCCCTCAGAGCCCCAGGACGCCCAGAGCTGGATACAAGGAAGGCTTCCTGGGGAGGGGACTTGAACTAGATATGTAGTGCAGGGTGAGAGGTGGGGATTGGAGGGGGGGGGCTTGTAGGTCATGTTTAGGAACGTGAATGTTTCTGAGGCATTGAAAAACAAGGTATATTTTCTAGGTTAGAGTTTGTGTTTTATAATTTAACAGATGTCATCCCCTTTCTGACAGGCAAAAGCTTAAGGTTTTGGGGACAGAGATAGGGTCAGTCAGCCCATGGAGTCCTTGGCCTCCAGCCTCCTAACTATAGCTGTCCCCGAGGTCACAGAGACCTCAGTTGGAGGCAAAAGCAGTGTTGAAGTAACTTGAGGTGACAGTGACCATGGCTGCAATGTTGGAAGTGGAGAGGAAAGGTCAAAAGGACTTCAGAGTTTTGAAACAAACAAGATGTTCCTTTAGAGTAATAATGTTTGTGTTTATCATGGAAGTTTCAGCTCCCACTGGTGGGGAATGACTGAGGCCAGTGCTTTGGAGACAGTTTTTCAAGAAATGCGAGAACCAGGATAGTCTATCTGACCTCTGGGAATCTTCAGTGCCCCTTCATGGACATCTCTTGAGGGCAGAATGTGAATGTGAGGCTCTTTCTGGGTATCACCACTTGAGCAGTGAAGTGGCGGGTCTTGTGGGGTTGAAAATTCTCATACCAGCAGAGTAGTTCCAGTTGTTGGGCTACAAAGAGTAACCACGTTTGGATATTTTTAAATCACCGGTGGAACTGGGAGAGTCTAAACCCAAAGTACAAATTTTCAGTTTAATTTTAACTTTGCACTTTGCTCACACCCAGGACTTGGCAGGAAAGTGGGCTTTTTTTTCCCTCCCCTCTCCTTTTTAAAGCAAAACACACCACGGATGCAAAAGGGATATTCTAGTGTGGAAGGGTTAGGGCCAAGGCGCCAAGTTCCAGAGGAAGCTGATTGGAATTAGAGCAGTTCAGGGAGAGGCCCGAGACCTGGAAATACTTCAGTCTGCCCTGGGGTACTACAACACTGGCCTGTGGAGACAGGTAGGAGGGTGACCAGTGTGACTTCCACAGGCCAGCAGCCAGGCTGGAGTTGTTTTGTTCTCTTTGGTCCATTTGAGATACTTCATAGGCAGCTCACTTGTTCCCTCACCCCCACCCCACCCCACCCCTGCCACCCGTGTGATATAACATGGTTTGGGCTTTTTGGTGATATCAGCAACTACAAGATCTAGGCCCTGACCCCTCCCTCTTCTCTTTGGTCTCACCCTAAACAGTGTCGAACACCTTTACTTCCCACCCCTGCCTTTTTACTTCCCACCCCTGCCAGGAGGGAGACACAGGAACAGTGGGGATTCTGAGTCCCCACCTGTCCCTTCAGAAGTTCCCAGGGAGCAGCCTCCTCTGTGATTTGGGAGAGAGACAAATAGTGGGATCCTAGGGCCCTCTGGATCTATGCTCCCTCTTGCAGCCCTCTGAGTCAGGGCTGGGTTAGGTTCTATGCTTTGGTGACCAAGGAAGTGTAGCCAGGGTGGGGAGCTCTGGAAGTGGCGCCCACGCAGCTGTTGGAGCAGTTAGAAGAGGGGGGCTGAGAGAAAGCAGTTACAGAGCCAGGAGGGCCTGCAGAATTAAGGTGGGGTCTAGAGAGTGTGTACCCTACATTTAAGAATGTCAAAGAAGCTTCCAGGGGCCCCTCTGCATGTTGTGGACTACACAGACCACTGGGGTCCAGTGGACACTCTTCATGACTGTGTCCTGGGTTTTCAGGACAGGCAGTACTACTGTGGCTACAAATAGAGGAGGATGCCTAGTGAGGGAAGAGTGATGTTAATAAAAAAAACATTAGGTGTCATGGCTTGTATTGTGTCCCTGAGAGAAGTGGCTGCAGTTTGGGTATGGTACTGGGAGCTGGAGACTGGCCTGGTCAACACTTTGAAACCCAGGTATCTGTGGAATCTCTAGGTGGCGTGTGCCCTGGTCTCTGCACCGCCCCCGTCCCCCCCACACATACACACCCAGTACTGAGGCCCTTTACTCCTTGGCTAATGGCAGTGAGGGGAGAGGCCATTGACCAGGCCAGGAAAACCACGCCTGCAGTCTCCAGGGTAGACCAGAGTCTCTTCTCACATTTGTCTTTCCTTAGTGGAGCTTCAGGAATTCCCAGGCCTTCTAAGGAAACCAGACAGGGGCCTCCTGACTCCCGGAGAGGAGATGGGGGTTACTCTTTCTCCATTTACTTGTCCCCTAAGGCCTGGCTTCCTGGCCCCACCCTGATTTTCTGCCCGAGGGTAGAGGGCCTCCCAGGATTTACTCCCAGGCACTCTTGCCACTGACCTGGAGAAAGTAGCTTGACCTGACATCCAGCCTCTACTGGGGACTGAACTTGCCCACTCCCACACCAGTGGGCAGGTGGGCCTTTATGACTAGCACCTAGGCTGAGAGCTCATTAGCTCTGGGAGAGAGCTGCTGCTTCCAGGCTTTCCCTTCTATAAGAACCCATAAATTGCTGCTGTCATGGGCAGGGCAGTTGTCCTCCACCAGGAGGACAGCAGAACCCTGCTGGGCTCTGGCATCCAGCTGTTTCCCATTGTCCCCTGCTCTGCTCCCTGGCTTAATGTGGGCTACATTCCTACTTTCCTGCAAACTTCCACCTGGCCCACAGATGGCTGAATAAAAGGGTTACCTGGAAGACTGAAACAAGTTGGCCAGCCGAGGAGATGGGGAATCCCTGGACAGGGTCCATTCTGCTTATCCAGGAGAGGCAAAGGCTCTGAGGGGCAGCAGTGATCCTGCAACAAATGCAGGAGTGCTGTGGAGAAGAGACAAGCCTATGCCATGTGACCCAGTGGTGAAAATTCAGGGCCATTAGGTGGGAGTCCCAGAGAGGGAGGTGGCATCTCAGTGGACATCATGTCCTGGTAGGCCTTAGGGAGCCAGCAGGTTGGGATGTTATGTCTGGGTCTGAAGGGACCCTCTCAAGTATCAGGTGCAGCCAGGAGATTCCTTCCAACCCTGAAAGGCCAGGTTCTCCAAGCAAGTGGCGTTCACTGGGCAGGAGTAACTCAAGGGTAACCTCTTAGAGGCACCCTGGTGTCCCTGCTGGCTCTCTGGTCATTTCAGACCTGACATCTGCTTGCTCTTCCTCACCTTGTTGTCTGACCATGTCTACTGGTCATCTTGTTATCTGACCAGGTCACCCTCAGCCAGGTCTACCTTTTAACCACTCCTGAGGTGAATTTTGATCAGTTATTTCTACCTCATTAGAAATAAAGAATTTAGTACCGATATTTGGGTAAAGGGTGAGTGGGAAGCAGGGTCTCAGAGATGCTTCCAGAGACATCCTTGGGGATTTTGCCAGCCTCAGCCTTTCATTGTAGATGGATCCTCCGTGTGAGGCATTCCGTTCCCTCCTTCCCCATCTGTGTGCAGGACCCTGGAGAGCAGAGCCAGGGCTAGTTGCAAATGCTCAGGGCTCACGTGTGGTGAGCAGTACAGAATGTTTGCAGCCTCATGGAACTTTTATTGGACAGCACTGGTCTAGGGATGGGGTCTTAGGAGTCCCTGGTCTGCCCCCTACCATGGGGCAGCAATAAGGCCAGGGGCCAGATAAGCAAGCTCTGTGACAGCCGGAGAGAGTGAACGAGCATATGTGTGCCTCTTGGGCACCATGAACAGAGGGTCACAGAAATACGGAGAGGTAAAGGTGGGAGGTGGCCTCTGTACTGCTGAGGCAGAAAGGTGGGGGCAGGGAGGAGATCTGTCCTGTGCAACACAGTGATCAGGAAGTGACTTTTTTGTGTAATGATGGACTGCTTCCAGGGAGCGTCTCCTCCTCCTCTAAGGAGGCTTCCCTAACACTCTTCCCCACTTATCCCCCCCACCCCCTTCCATTCATGTGGTCCTTCCCTTTCCAGGTGAAAGAACTTGTCCTGGACAATTGTCGGTCGAATGAAGGCAAAATTGAAGGCCTCACAGACAAATTTGAAGAACTGGAATTCCTAAGTACAATCAACGTAGGCCTCACCTCAGTCGCCAACTTACCAAAGTTAAACAAACTTAAGAAGGTAAACAGCACAGGAGCCTGTGTACAGGGAGCTGGGTGGGCAGGAGGGGGGTGATTACTTTGTGTGCAGGCAGCGTAATTGAAGGTGAGGCCAGGTGCCTGCACCAACTTGCCTGCAGATCCCCTGAGACTTCTTTCCCTTTTTCCCTTCCTCACTGTTCTGGGAGAACCAAGAGGCCCTGAGCCGAGAACCTTTATTTTAAAAGCCCTTTCTGCTTTTTTGTCTGCCTGTTTAGCTCGAACTAAGCGATAACAGAATCTCAGGGGGCCTGGAAGTATTGGCAGAAAGGTGTCCGAACCTTACGCATCTAAATTTAAGTGGCAACAAAATTAAAGACCTCAGCACAATAGAGCCACTGGTAAGTTATTTGAATGCTCCCCTCTCTGCTGGGTTGAGAGATGGGGAGGAATTGGTATCAGAGAATACTGCCTTTGTATTTGTATAAGAACTTTTTTCATTTATCGTAATTTCTTGGAATCTCATTATATGCTGTTAGGTAGAATAGGAGCTGCTTAGTCCATACATGAACTGAGGCTCAGAGTTGAAACAGCTGACCGAGGTTACACAGCCAGAATGGGCAGTCAGTGTGAAGGCAGGATGTGGATCCTGGCCTCGATTTCTGGTCTCAAGCTTTTCCCTCAGTTTCCACTCACTTTGGAAACCTGGACTGTACTTCAGGCTCTGTGCATATTGCCCTTCTTTGAGCAAGAAGGAGTGACCCCAGTTGATGGACCAGGGTGGCAGAATAAGAAGCTGACATTTCTTTCCCATGCTCAGACCTTACCTATGTCTTGGGGTCAGCCAATAAAATGTACTTCCCGCAGCACAGTTCTGTTCAGGTCTCCCACTCGTCTCCTGGGAGAAAGCAAAACTAGTTTGGTCTGCCTGGAGATCTTGATTTTGTAATTTTACTATGAAAGGAAAAGTCTTCTAAGTTCTTTTGAGTTTGGAAGTGTGGAATATTTTTTTCTTGGAGTGTGTTTGGGGACTGAGTAAATGAAATCCTCGTAAATGTTGCCATTCAGTCACCATGTAGTGGACACACATGCTCCTCCCAGTGGCCACACCCGTGTTTCAGCAGGCTCCCCTCCATTAGTAGTGTGATGAGTGCTACACTTCCCTGGTGCGAGAAACTGCTTTTGGTTGGGAGGTAGTGGCTCATCACATAGCACAGTCAAGATGCCTTTGACATCTCTGCTGAGAATGACCCAGGTCACAGGTGCCAGGTGTTCCAAGTATTAGAGAATCAATATTCACCCTGAGAGACAGTGGCTTTCCTCCCCAGTTAGGCTGGCCCCCATCCCAACAGGGGCTCACCTTGAGTCAAACTGCTTGAGTTAGGCAGGAGGCGAAGATGCGGCTCTCACATGCAATCTGTGGCCCCTTAGCTTCCTCAGCCATCCAACAGGGTTCATATGAGCTTAGGACCAAACTAGTACAAAGCTTTGACAAGCATGTCCTGCTAAGTACTGTGGACAGAATCTGGACCCTTCATCAGTTTTTCTCGTGTCCTTTTGGGCAAGTGCAAGATCACAGGTCTGTGCCTCATTTCCTGTAAAACTCACTAATAATTTCAACCTAAGCGGTTGTGGGAAGAATTAACTTCTATGTGAAGTGCTATGTTAACTGCCATGACAATCATGTAGATGCAGAAGTTAGTTCATGTTGCCTTTTAGTTCCTCAGTCTCTGTGGTCACAGGGGTGCTCGGCAAAGCTGTTGGTTCATGTACCAAGAAGGACCCAGGTTAATTTCAAGACCGTCTCTGTTAAGGCAACAGCTGGAATTGCAGAATAAAAGCCTTAACATTAAATAAGGCTTTAAAGGTCCTCAAGTCCAACCCATTTTCCAGATGAGAACTTTTCTGGGGTGACCACTCCTGACCTATGCCACCTCCCATAAATTGCTCTCACTCTTAACTTTTTTTTTACCACTTGCAGAAGAACTTAGAGAACCTCAAGAGCTTAGACCTTTTCAATTGTGAGGTAACCAACCTGAACGACTACCGAGAAAACGTGTTCAAGCTCCTCCCACAGCTCACGTATCTTGATGGCTATGACCAGGACGACAAGGAGGCCTCCGACTCTGATGCTGAGGGCTATGTGGAGGGTCTGGACGATGACGAGGAGGATGAGGATGGTGGGTGGTGATGAGGAGGAGGATGGGTGGCATAGGGCTGCAAGGGCTCAGCCTGAGGCCAGGGGCTTCCTCCTTGGCTTGAAGCAGGGTGGGCTAGCTGCTGGGAAGCCCCACCTGCTGCAGGGGGTGGGCAGTCTATTTCCAGAGGGCCTGCCTTCCCCCTCTCCCCCAGACCCTAATAGGTCTCATTGGTTATTTCCCCTAAAAGAACAGGATACAGACCCCAGAGGAACGTCTTGAGATTGTGTAATTCCTTTAAAATTGAATCTTCACTTCAATTTTTGTCCCTTTTCTGAAACCTCACAAGGGCTGTGATTCTGTTGTCTCTCTATATATAGTTTGAACCCAGATCTAGACACTTCCAGGTAGGGGGCAAGAGGATAGTGGAAGGAGGGGTGTAGCCTGAAGACCCTCTTTCTCCGGGAAGTGGAGACCAGATCACCAGCCAGAGAGACTGTGGGGCCCCCTGGTGGCTATAGCCCACACACTGCTGGCCAGCTCTGGGGTGTGTAGGAGGCTGCAAGCAGTGCAGAACCTTCAGGAAGGAAAGACTGGGAAAAGGAGTGCCTCCTTTTGACTTCCCACCTTCCCTGCTGTGGGTACAGTGTGGTGTCTCCACTCCATTAATTCAGACACAAGATTTATTTTTCCTTGCTATATTAGAAGTATTTTATAAGGTATTTAGATACCCCATTTGTCTTGGTGGATAATAACATCCTCCTTCCTGAGGTGCATGTGGTGTTTTGGTACACAGAGGAGATCTGAGTGTACAGCAGGATGGTCCAGTCTTAAAACCAGGCTTCCAGACCTCTGCTTGGCTGCCCTCCTCTGATTCCATGTGTGACCTTGAACAAGTCATTTGTCTCTAGATTTCTGACCCACATCCCCAGTCCTTTATTTTGAGACCCACTAAGTTGCTGAGGCTGGCTTTGACTTGCGATCCTCCTGCCTCACCCTCCTGAGTCACTGGGATTATAGGCATATGCCACCACACACAGCTCCTAGGAGATCTTTATAAATGAATCGACCTCCTTGCTTCCTCTGACTTGTGCTTGAATCTGGCAATCTGGCTTCACATCCACAAGAGGTCTTTTTGCTCTCATAAAACTTGAGGGGAGGGCTAACCTTGTGGATCCCTTTGAGATGTTTTTAATCATATCAGCGCTCTTGTGAGTGAGAGCACTTGGGCTTTGGGCTCCAGAGGGTGGGAGGGCTGGGACCCACACTAGACCTTGCTCACGAGGGAGGTGGCAGCTCACCACCCCTTTTGTCTTTGTTTCCCATCCCAACTGAACAGAGGAGGAGTATGATGAAGATGCTCAGATAGTGGAAGATGAGGAAGACGAATATGAAGAGGAGGAAGGGGAAGAGGAGGATGTGAGTGGAGAGGAGGAGGTAAGGAGGCGGGACTGCAAGGGCGCTATGTCCTGGGTTCCCTGGTGCTGCCTCTGAGCCTGTCCTGCCAAACACCATGACCAGCCTGGGCAGCCAGGGGCCCTCGTGGGGAGCTACTCTCCCACGGGCAGGGGAAGGAGGAGTGCCTTTCAGTGGACTATCTTTGGGGGATAAGACTTGCAAGTAGTTCTAGGGAAGTTGCATTAGGAGTGGGGAAGAAGATTCTGGAGCCAGGGACTCACCTGTTGGGGGAACCCTGGCCCTCTTTTCTATATGAAAATTAGTTCTTTTGGAAATATAGAATCCTGTCCCCATTTGCTGCTGTTTTGCATTCATATGTTAATTACGATACTGAGCACTTAAAAGTGTACCAGGGAAAATTAGGCAGCTTGTAACTGCTAAAAGGTAGGATAAGGTACTCCTGGGTCTCAAATCAGAGGAACAGGGTTCATCTGCACACTAAGAAAATAGTGCATCAAGAGTGGGCCATTAGCCTAGTGGATCTACTGATTCCCAGTTTTTAAAAAACTAATGTCTATGAAGGTAACAAGGGAGAGAGCAGTCTGAGGGGATATATCCCAGCTCTATTGTGTACTAGCTGTGCGTCCCTGGACAAGTTACTGACCTTCCTGAGCCTATTTCTTAGTCTGTAAATTACAGATCATGATGTATCTCTCACTGGGTTATTTAGAATATAAAATAAAGTGTAAGCAAAATGCTTGAGGTCAGTGTCTGACAAGGGGTGAGTGTCTGACCAGTTATTGTAGGCATTCACACCCTCCTTCAAGTTCTTGGCTCTGTTTGCTAGGTTTTGTATTTTGGTGTTCCAGCTCTCCATAGCAGAAGCATTTTCTATGACTTGCTTAGAATTCCAAACCAACTCTTGCTGCTAGCAAGATAACAGTGTGGGCAAGGTGCCTGCCCCTGCCCCCTCCCTTACCATCATCCTCACTTCCTGTCTCCTTCACTTGGATGCAGACATCCACCTGCCGTATACATATATACTTTGTTCAGGCAGGGTCTCCCAGCTACTGCTTGGCCTAGGCCTGGAACAGGTGGGGGAAGGCCAGAAAAGCTGGTGAGAAGCCAGGTGCAATGGCGCACACCTGTAATCCCAGTGGTTTGGAAGACTGAGGCAGGAGGATTGCAAGTTCAAAGCCTCTTCTCCCTAGGTCTAGGCTAGGCTCACTTCTGTTGAGTACTGTGAGCTCTTTAAAAGTAAAGACTTAGGAAAACAGGTCTCCTTAGGACAGGGCAGTAAGTAGTGCTGGCTAATGGAGAGTTCATCTTGCCCTTCCTGTCACAAGAGGCGCAGCATTCGGGTTTTGTTTTGGTTTTTGTAATCTCATTGACCATCTGTACATTTCCAGCTTCCAATAATACACACACAAAAACAGTCCTACCAAACAAACCGAGGGGGAACTATTTGGTGACATTATCAAAGGATATTTCCCTTGTCAGAAAGAAGTCTGTCACCCAGTTTTTCTAGACTGTGGCCTGCTTTAGAAGCAGTCCAGCATGCAGGGAGTCGGGGAGCATGTAACATCTTCAGGGACAGCACAGAGCAAGGGCCCTGTGTGGAAAAAGGAAATCACACTCCTGGCTCAGTCTCAAGCAAGTTGGGAATGATGTCCTCAGGGGGCCTTGAGTTTATCTTCCCTGCCCCTCCCCATCAGGTGGTCCAAGCTTGCAATATAGTGAAAGAACTGGGTAGGGTGCAGTTTCACTTGCCCACACAATCTGGCTTTGCTGACCAGGGTCTTCCCTTGAAGCCAAAACTGGATTGAGGACAGATGAAAGAAAGGGTGGCCTACTTTACACGTCAGGAGTCTGCTTAGGGAGCCTGTTCTCCTAAGAGCTTGCGAGCTGGAAAGCAGCCTGACTTCTGGGGACTTCTCATCAGGAGTTCTTTGCAGGGTGGAGTCCAGCCCCCTCCAGTTGTCTTGACAGTGTTGTATCTGATGTGAGCAATTTCTGGGGAAGGAGTTCAAAGCTTTCTGCAGATTCTCAAGTACAATCCTTGATCCAAAATAGATTCAGCACCTCCATTTAATGTTCATCCTGAGCTGGCAGGCCTTGGCATGGGACTCCGAGGGGTTGGGTAACATCCATAGACCAGGTCATTTCTAACATTGCTTTTTTTCCCAGGAGGATGAAGAAGGTTATAACGACGGGGAAGTCGACGATGAGGAAGATGAGGAAGAACTTGGCGGTACAGTACCTCTTTATCTCAGCTGATAGCAGCCTGGCATGTGTAGTTTTACATTGGCTTGCTTGGGCTCTGAGGAGCCTGCAGTGGGCAGAAGATGCCTATCTGAGGCCCCAGGTGCCTCCCTGCCTTGGTTTCCAAGGTGGCAAGGTTTCTAAATATGGCTGCTTGCTAGGGGTGTGTTGAGTTAAAGAGGCGGGTTGGATAGCTAATCCAAATGTCTTTCCCTTACTCTTCCAGAAGAAGAAAGGGGTCAGAAGCGAAAACGAGAACCTGAAGATGAGGGAGAAGACGATGACTAAGTGGAATAACCTATTTTGAAAAATTCCTATTGTGATTTGACTGTTTTTACCTGTATCCCCTCCCCTCCTCCAAATCCTGTCCCCTGAAACTTATTTTTTTCTGATTGTAACGTTGCTGTGGGAATGAGAGGGGAAAAGTGTACTGGGGGTTGCTGGGGGGGGAGGGCGGGAGGGGGTGGAATAAAATACTATTTTTACTGCCACTCTTTATTTTTCCCCCTCCTTTTTCTTTGTGTCTGGTTTTGTCCCTGTAAATGCAATAGCTGAGTACACACCAAGTGAGCATTTGTTCCTTACTCTCAAAGAGGATGGTTTGGAGTTCTCTTACATTTCCTGGTATGTCCCAAGTCCCCAGAGTTGGTTTGAAAGCCATGCTGGCCTCAGTCTGGTCACTCAGATCCTGGGAGGGGCTGAATACCAGCTACACCGCTAACTCTTGCTTTGGCTCATGTGATTTCTGTGTTTCTTGGGCCTGCTAGAGGCATCCAGCGCCCTGGTTTGTAAATAGCAACCTAAAGGCGTATTTTGGCACTGGTTTGGGGACATTCCCCATCTCTCATCCCTTTTTCCCCTTCACAGATGGTGGTGGGCTTCGCTTTTCAAAGAGGACTCGGTGGTACTCTTGAGCTGTGAGCCCTCGAGCGGAGAACAGCAGGCTTATGAATAATAAGTGAAATGGGTTTGGTGATTATAATTAGAAGAAACAAACCCTCAAACTTCAGCCTCTTTAAAAGAAAAAAAAAACTGTCCTATCTTGTTCTGTAAAATATTAGAACGCTTTGTTTTATGAAAATGACAGGATAATTCTTCCACGTGTACTTCCGTGCTTAGAACATTTTTACAGACCTGAGCGCTGGAGACGTGGCTGCATGTCGGCTGGGTTTTTTTCATACACCCAAGCACGGAAAAACTAATGCAAAATTGTATTTTCTTACCTAGTGGAAGTCTGAAATGACTGCAAATTCCTAGTGAATGTACAGGTTTGCTTTCGTGTCCCTCTTCTGGATTGCTTTAGAAGTGACGTGTTATTTCCTAACCCATGTTTCATCTGTATAAAAGAACATCTGCACCAGTTTTTCTCCTGCCCCTCAGAAGAGCCAAACTTTGAGTTTTATGTCTGTTTGTCATTGATAAATTTCAATAAATCTTTTTATACAATTTTTGGGGATGGCTTCTTTGAGTTCAACAGGCCATTGATCTTTATAAATTGCGTTTTAGGTAAACTGCTCACTGACGGTGGAAGCATCACTGTTGTCACCTGATGAAATAGCTGAGTTCGAATACGTTTGATCATAAAGCAAGACTCATTAGAAGCTATATTTTTAAAAAAAATACAAAAAAGTTAAAGTACCAAAAAAAATCACCAGAAAGTCAAACCAACCTTAGAGCCTTGTGTTAAATATCTTTTTTGTTTTCTTTTTCATGCTGTAAAAAGAATGTATTCTTGAAAACTCAGGAATGTATAAAACAAATTATTTCACAAACTCAGAGATTTACATATGGTGTTTTATTTTGTCCCTTTTTTTTACTCTATATTATCATTTCTCTGTACTTCTAAATTGTTCTTAAAAGCATATATCTTAAATGGCTACATAGTAGTCCATCAAATGTATTCTGATTTGTTTGTGATCACATGGTTAGATTTTATCACTACAGTGCACATTTTCATATATATAAGTATTTACACTGTTTGTGGAGTTCTTAGCACAAAGTTTTATAAGATTGATTGACCCAAAAGTTGACTCACATTATAATGCTTGTGTACGCAGTCCATTGTTTTCCTGAGTGATTGTAGCCATACCTACACATTTGTTCTCAGCCGTATGTCCTTGATCCCCACTGCAAGCTCTAGTTCCTTACAATGTCTTGGAATCATTGTGAATCCAGCAATTCACAGTGCATCCAAGAGAGCCTGTGACCTACCCAGTCTCTAGGCAGGTGCCAGGCTCATTAATGGGGCAAGGGGTATGAACCAGGCAGCCATGCTTTGAGCCGCAGAGCTTGTAAAGGAGCCTGGGAGTGGGGAGAAATTGGGGAAAGCATTGGTCCACTCTTAGGACTTTGGCCCTGACTCCCTCCATGGAATCTTAATTAATTAATTAATTAATTAATTGATAGGTAGATGATGAATGGATGAAACTGAGCCGAAGGAAGGAAACCTCTTTCTAGATTTGGAAGGTAAATATTCATTCATGCCTCAGCTAATTTGATTTCAGTCAAGGGGCTGAATATTTCTCACTAATGAAATTATGAATATATCAATCACTGGGGAAGATAATGCCCATTGTACAGACTAGGAGGTAGCTTGGTAACTTGGAAGAGGTGAAACCCAGGTCTATTATACTATTTTCATTTTATGGATTTCAGTCATGAATGGAGGAGGAAGCTCCATCTGGATGGAAGAGCTGCCCTTTGCTGAGATCTTGCTAAGTGCCTGGCCCAGTGCTTTAAACACCCCTTCTCAGAAATCTCAATACTGAGTCATCACAGCACCTTGTGTAGGTGCATTACCCTTGTTACCCAGATGGCTGAGAGTGACTCACCAAGGTCATGCAGCCAGAAGAGCACCATCAGGAATGGTCAGGTGTGTCAGTCTAGCTCTTGCCCTTACAGTGAAGTACCTCCAGCCTCCTGGCCCGTGATGGGCAACCACTTGATTGAGGCAGCTGTGTTCAGTTTCTCACCCTTGGCCATCATGGATCAGAGAAGGAACTTCTCATATCTGTGCTTACAAATGCTAAAGAGGACAAGTGATATGCCCAAGGTCATTCTGCAAGGGAGGGGCAGAGCAAAACCTGGAACCCAGGACTCCCATTCCTGGGCTTAATATAATTCCTGCTGCTGTATTGCCAGTTGAGGGGAGGCCAGTCATGGTAAGGAGCAGAAGGTCCACCTTGCAGTGCTAGAATGAAGTCTAGCTGTGTGTGGACAGCCAATGATGGGTTCTACTTACCTTTGGGACAAATTGCATTTTCCTCATATTCCCAGTGACTGGCTTCCTGATGCTGACATTGATCACCATGGAAAGGGCTGTGCATTTATGGGTGCAGGCCCAGGCCTGGAGAGAACCACGTGCTGATTGGTGGCGATGATGAGCTCCTAATCTGGGCCGTATTCTTTATATCCATTTCCTCCTCCAAACCTGGAGTGCACTGATGAAATCTGAGGCTCCAGGAGATGAGACAACTAGCCCACCTAGTAAGTGACAGGCCTCAAACCTCCATCTCCCTGACACCAGAGACCCTGTTCTTATCCCCTGTTAAAAGACCAGGCAGATGAGGGAAGAAGGGTGGAGCAGTTCCATTGGTCTCATATTTATTTTTTAGTTCGAAGCACTCTACTGCTGAGCCTCTACCCCAGCCCCACAAAGGCTGTTTTTATCCTGGTTCAAAAACTAATTGTTCATGATTGGAAGGATTCCCGCAGAGAGTCCCTAACAAGCAGCTTTGAGAAACAACCACCATTATGTCCCTAACCCAGTCTTTGGACATCCCCTGTAGCAGATTGGATCCAGGGAGCTGCAGACTGAGAAGGCTGGGGATGGTTGCACAGATGGGGACAGGTCTGAGGCTGAACCACCTGACAGGCCCTCAAGACCAGCCACAAAATTACGAGCTGAGACAAGATCAGGGAAAGTCAAACCTGAAGGGGCATCTGTCTACTACTAATGGTGACTTGGGGGCTCATGCAGAGGACATCCGCAGGTGGCCTGCCAAGCATCAGTTTCAGTTAGGGTTGCAATACTGGGGCCACTGGAAGGACTCGTGTGGGTATAAACCATTCTTCACTCCTGAAGTTCAGATGGGCTGACTCCCATCTGTCTCTCCAGCTCCTAGAGTCAGCATGTGGCTCAAATCTGGCCAGTTAGCAAGCTCTACATCCTGCTCACAGTGATCTGTGCAAGCAAAGGCCCAGATCCAGACTGGCCAAGTGAGACTCAATCCCTGGGATTTGGGGAATGAGAATCTCCAGTTGGGGTCCTGGGCTGGGAGCACGGAGACTGGACAAAGCCTGCCTGAGCCTAAAGCCGGAGCCAGGAAGTAGAGCCAGCCAACCTCCTATGAGTCTCAGCCTCAGAGTCTGACTGGCGCAAGAAGTGCGAACACTGACATCTAACTTAGAACTTCCTGTTTGCCAGGCAAAAGTGTTTTGCTTGTTGTTCTTTATAACTCCACTTGGTGGTCATTATTGTCCCCATTTCAAAGATTGAACACATGAGTGTTTAATAAATATTAGCTGCTTAGTGCCATTCTTCGAAATAAATGCTTAGTAAAAATCAACAGTATTCCCCAAGTTTCCCTGATAAGAATCCCTGGGGTTTGTCAGCTGGCCAGACCTCACCCTCTGGGAATTCTGACTCAGTAGCTCTGGATTGTTGCCCAGAATCTGTGTTTTTAACAATGCCCAAAGGATTCTCATTATGATGGAAGTTTGGGAGATGATGCATTAAACTCAACACCTACCACAGAGAGAAAGGCATTAAAGCCATACTCACTTGAAGCTGAAGAAAGTGAGGCTCAGAGAGGTTAAGGGACCTGCCTGAGCACACACAGATGGCAGATGACAGAGCTGGGATTGAATCTAGGTCTACATGACCTTCAGACTTCATGTAGGAAGGGAAAACAGCTGTGTGTCTCACCATTTCTGAGATGATGGGAAAGTTGGGAAAGAGCAAAAGGAAAGGGAAGAGAGAAAACTTTGACTTAAAAAAAAAAAAAAAACCGATGGTGATTTTATGGTGAAGAAGTCCAAGCAACACAAATAACCTCTGTGACAAGAAGAAAGCCAAGTTCTAACTGCTACTTGGTTATTAAAACAATCTAAGCTGTACACCATGGCTCTGGGAGATTGAGGCCAGCCCAGGCCACACAGTGACAAACATAAGACAAACAAGGGACTGGGAGTGCAGCTCAGTGCAGCTCATGTTTGAGGCCCTGGGTTCAATCCCCAGCCCCACAAGGAAAAAGAAAAAAGGTGGGGGAATAATCATGAAGACAATTTCCCCTTCCCTTTCAAAACTTAGGTACAGTAAGTTCACTCTTTGTATCAACCACCACAGTCATGATACAGACTCACTTTTTGGTTATAAAAAGAAGTGCATTGCTCTCTGGGAATTTCCTAAACCCTGCTCATGGCTTCTGAAGGCATAGCGCACCGTGGCCAGGCCTCGGGAGTCAGGAGACCTGGATTTTCGTCCTAGCTCTGAAGCTGCCTAGCTGGGTAATCGCCCACGGGTCCCCTTTATGTCCTGGAGAAAGAGCGCGCTGACTGAATGCCTTCTGACAGCCTTGCCAGTTTGTTGTGATCCCCTCCCTGCCCGGAGGCCTCTGGTTGCCTTGATTTTGAACATGAAGTTTAGCATCGCCCTGCGCAGGCCCACAGCGGAGGTAGCAAGGGTCAGCGTAGGAGCTCTGCTGGGGTAGGAGCACTCTGAAGGGGAATCAATGAAATGCTTTTCTGCAGTCTCAGTCTGTAGACTGGTAGTCTGGCCTATGCACAGCCACGATTGCCTGGGTTACCCAGCTGGGCCAAGAAAGAAGGGGACTAAAATTGGCCTGGATTAAGTGCTTTTGATGTCCAGAGCTTGACACCGATCTTGTTCATTCTTGCAGCAGAATTCTCTTTGAGGTAGTAAGTATCCCTACTCTCCAAGTGAAGGAACAGAGGTTCAGAGACATTATGTACATTGCTCAAGGACACACAGCCAGGTACGGCAGGATCTGGTATTAGAACCTGCTGCTTCTTGGTCTGAAGGATGGAGATGTGTCCTCAATTTTCAGGGCCCGTGCAGCCCACAGCTAACTGCAGCCAGATTCATCTCACCCAAATCTTGGCTTGACTAATTTCACACCTTCTCTCAAGATTCCAGCTCTCAGGCCCAGCACAGTCCTCCCACTCATCTCTGCAGTTCTCCGACTTCCACGCCTGTGACAGAACCAGTCTCTCCATAGTCCTTGGGAACAGATGTCTTGCAACAAAAATGTTTTGAACCTCATGAACAAGAGGAGAGGATCTCTGCTTTTGGAGAGAGGGACACTAAGATGTTTGCAAGGGTCAGGACCATCTTTTCTGATGCTTGAAAGTCAGAAGGAGCAGCACAGTGGGTGGTGCCATCCTGGGCTGGAGCCAAGAGGCCTGTGTGGCTCAGGCCTCTCTCTAC